CCATTACGCCTCGCCACCGTCCCGCCTGCCTCCGCGAGCGCTCCACCGCGCCTCGCCACCGTCCCGCCTGTCTTGGCGAGCGCTCCATCGCGCCTCGCCACCGCCTCACCTGTCTCCGTAAGCCCTCCATTACGCCTCGCCACCGTCCCGCCTGCCTCCACGAGCCCTCCACCGCGCCTCGCCACCGTCCCGCCTGCCTTAGCGAGCGCTCCATCGCGCCTCGCCACCGTCCCGCCTGCGCCATTCAAGCGCCCCACCAGACGGCGCTGGAACGCACCCCCTGCCGACAGGTGTCGGGGTCGGCACCCTGCTGTCGGCGTACGTGTTTTCGCGCTACGGCGGCTCGGCGACGTTCCTCTCGTTCGGCGTGGCGGCACTGGTCGTAGCAGCGCTGTACTTCCTACTCTCCGAGCTCGTGGAGCGGCTGACGGCGGCCGGTGAGTGGCGCCGCGCGGAGCAGGAGTGTGCCAAGGGCGGTGCGGGCTGCGAAGCCACGCAGCGCTCGCAGGTCGGCGGTGCCGACCGTGTGTCGGCCGCGTGAATAGGCGTTAGTTCTCGTGAAGTTTGGATGTTTTGCCGGGTGTGTGCCTGCCGTGATGGCGCCTGCATTAATGCAGCCGGTACAGCACTGGTTGGACTGGGCGAGCAGCCACCCGCTTATCGTCACAGAAGGCGGGCAAACATGTGTTTTGTCCACCCTGAAGTCCTAAGGAGGCCCCCCGAAAGCCACGATCGGTGTGATGCGCACGGTCAGAGGCAGTAATGCGGTTAGCAGGCCCGGTTACGATCAACAACGTGAAGGCCCCAGGATCCGGTACTGTCGGGAGTGAAGGCCCCAGGATCCGGTATTTTCGGGAGTGGAGGCCCCAGGATCCGATATTGTCGGGAGTGGAGGTCCCAAGATTCGGTATTGTCGGGATTGGAGGCCCCAGGATCCGGTATTATCGGAAGTGGAAGCCCCAGGATCCGGTATTGTCGGGAGTGGAGGCCCCAGGATCCGGTATTGTCGGAAGTGGAGGCCCCAGGATCCGGTATTGTTGGGGATGGAGGCCCCAGGATCCGGTATTGTCGGGAGTGGAGGCCCCAGGATCCGGTATTGTTGGGAGTGGAGGCCCCAGGATCCGGTATTGTCGGGAGTGGAGGCCCCAGGATCCGGCATTGTCGGAAGTGGAGGCCCCAGGATCCGGTATTGTCGGGAGTGGAGGCCCCAGGATCCGGTATTGTCGGGAGTGGAGGCCCCAGGATCCGGTATTGTCGGAAGTGGAGGCCGCAGGATCCGGTATTGTCGGAAGTGGAGGGGTTCACGAGCAGGCTTTCCTTTTCTTAATACACTCAATACCCGCGGTGTCGTGACCAGACCTACCTCCTATCAATGCGTAGCCAGTTGTGCCCACCCTTCATCCACAAATTATGATGGAACTTGATATTTAGGTGGGTAATGAGCTGAGCCTTGTACTGACGGTGTCTTCGTCTAAGATTGGCGCCGGGCTGCGTGGCGCCATGTTGTCCCCTGAGCGCTACTATCAGCCACACGCATTGTCCTCCGTCCTAGTAATGAGTGCCTCCTACCCTCCATCCCCAACTCGCTTCATTACGCGTTCAGCATCGGCACTGGGGCGCGCTCAAGACCGGCGTGTGACGAACTGCCTCGGTGTCTGCAGACTCCACGCTGGAGATCGCTTTCGAGGAAGAGAGACTCGCGGAAGAGGCTTCATCGCAGGCGGTCCCATCGCTAGAACACAAGCAGTCACCGACAGCCCTGCCGGCGGACGAACGGTCGTCTGCAGTCCTCCTGCCAGAGGACAGGCTGTCGCAGGCAGTCCTCCTCCCTGCCGAGCAGCCGGGATCCCCTCGGACGCTGCTCCCTCGGGTCAGCCCATCGCAACGGGCCCTGTTAGCGGAGGAGGACGTGGCGTTAGCGGAGGAGGGCGTGGTGTTGGCGGAGGAGGGCGTGGTCGACGACAGCGGTCCGCAGTGCTGAGCCAGCCGGAGTCTCCGCTAGCAGTGTCTCGATGGGGCGGCAGATTCGTGTCAGTAGGCGTAGAAAATGGGCGGGCGGCAGAGCCCCCATTAGTCATCGCAGTGCAATGTCCGTGTCGTACCTGCACAGGGAAATGATCGTGATTGTCATGGTGCAATAACGCAAGGATGTCATGCCCGCAGATTTCATAATAAAAGGTACGTCTGAGAGAACTGTGTTATGCTGAGTGGATGAGCAAATACAAGTGAATGGTTTTTTGCCAGGCTTTTGCAAGATCTTATTTTTTCCCAATTGCCTTTTTCTGTGACTCGGAGGCTCTAAACTCGTGCGGATGATCATGCATAAATAGAATAACAGTGAATACATCAGTGGGAAATGAATCAGTGACGACACAACCTCCCGATGCTGGAATATGAGATTCGTTGCGGTATGTGATACACCGGCACATGTCGTGCTCTGGTTACTGGACGGTGGACGGTTTCAGGGAGTCCCGTCAGCTATGACTGCTGTTATACAGTACTCCAGTGGGTCCCGGCACCTGTGCTTGCCACCACACTGTACTATAGTGGGTTCCGGCATTTGTGCTGGCCGCTACACCGTATTCTGCCGAGTTCCGGCACCCTGCCTGCATACACACTATGCTACACTGTACTCCGGTGGGTGCATACGCCATGCTACAATGTACCCCAGTGGGTCCCGGCACTCGTGCCTGCTGCTACACTGTACTACAGTGACCCCGGCAACCGTACCTGCCGCAACACTGCACTCCAGTGGATCCCGATACTCGTACCTGCTGCTTCACTGTGCTGCAGTGGGTCCCGACACCCGTGCCTGCTGCTACACTGTACTTCAGTGGGTCCCGGCCCCGTGCTTGCCGCTTCACTGTGCTGCAGTGGGTCCCGACACCCGTGCCTGCTGCTACACTGTACTTTAGTGGGTCCCGGCCCCGTGCTTGCCGCTTCACTGTGCTGCAGTGGGTCCCGGCATCCGTGCCTGCCGCTACACAGTACTCCAGTGGGCCCCGGCACCCGTACCTGCCGCTACACAGCACTCCAGTGGGCCCCGGCACCCGTACCTGCCGCTACACAGTACTCCAGTGGGCCCCGGCACCCGTACCTGCCGCTACACAGTACTCCAGTGGGTCCCGGCACCCGTACCTGCCGCTACACAGTACTCCAGTGGGCCCCGGCACCCGTACCTGCCGCTACACAGTACTCCAGTGGGTCCCGGCACCCGTACCTGCCGCTACACAGTACTCCAGTGGGCCCCGGCACCCGTACCTGCCGCTACACAGTACTCCAGTGGGTCCCGGCACCCGCGGCAACCTGCAGTCAGACCGACGCGTCACCTACCTCGGCCGTAGCCCGCCGCGGGCCGTCGCGATGCACACGGCGGTCGAGTCAGTGACCTCTGCCGGCGCTGCAGCCGGCGAGCCGGCCCGGCAGCGCAGTGTTGGCGGCGCGCCGGCCTCTTGCAGCCGTCGTCTGGTGATGCGCGCGGCATGTACAGGCGTGTGATGCTCACCAGAGGCTTCCCCAGGTGCAGGCTGGTGCCGAACTGGCTGGCCGGCTTCGCGCTGCTCTACTTCGTCCTGACGCTAGCTTCCATGAGAAGGCGGCCGCGTGCTGCACCCGCCGACAGGTAGGCGAGTGTCTGCGTCTTTTTCTGTGAGGCAATACATGAAAGGTATTGCTTCATACCTTATAAAGGTATCGAGCAATACCTTTCATGCATTGTCCCGCAATTCCATGTCATTGCAAATCATGCAAATACCATATAAAGGTATGGTTCCATAAAAAGGCTGGTCCCAAGCAGAGGGCAAATCGCTGTGGAAAAATGGAGTGGTCCGAGTCCCAGCAGCCCATGGCCCGGGGCGGGGGGGGGGGGGGGGTAGTTCAGCATGATAGGTTCCACATTTTAGGCCACATCCGTTTTGAACCACTTTGGTTGGAGAGATGGTTTGGTCACGATTTTAGAAACAACTAGAAGTAGAGGTCATTTTGTGTGCATCCAAAGGGCAGAAGTACAGCGGCCTACAGCTCAAGCGATCATGGCAGCTGCACGGTCTTGTCTACAGCGTTCGATTGCTGTAAAGCGATTTCGGCAACAATGCCACGTGCATTGAAAACGCTTCCAAGCCTATTCGAAGCGCGCATTCGAAACGGCCCATAAGCGACTAGAGATATCCTGAGGGGGATAAACAGAGGGACCTAAGCGGTCACCGCGACGCCTGAACGGTCAATGAGCTCCTTATTAGCTCGGAGGTCCCCTTAGTGTCAAGGAGGGACTTTAACAGGCCCAATGTATCACTGGTAGTTATACAAGCGCTGAGCAGCCATAATATCTTTGGCCGCTAAAAACAGCCCTTGAAAGTACCAGGGGAGCCCGGGACGGCCAGACTGAGCCCATTCAGAGAAGGCTTATCCAGAGACTTCACAGCCAGATACATATTGGCACTGATGGCTTTGTTTACCAACTATCTTTTTTATCCATATAAGCGGCACTGTCTGGCTATTTGTTCTGGCGACGAAACGTTCTTAGCTCGTCGCATCAGCTAGCCAATTTCTGTTCGTACAGCGCGAGCCGAAAAAATCCCCTCCCCTTGGAGCTCCTGGACCACCGGAACTCGGAGTTCGAGCCCACCAGACCTCGACGGTGCTTCGGGGGCGACGTGCCCACAGGATCCCCAGTCATGGTCTTTATATTCTGCGTCTAAGTAATCTGTATTTAAAGTTGGCTAAAGCGATACAGCCTTATACTGCAGGCAAGATTTCACCCATGACTGCACACACGGTTTCCGGACTCAAACGGAAAAACCCAGCTTGCAGCAGCCCTACACTTCATGCAAGATTGTACCCATGGCTGCACACGCGGTTTTCGGACACAAACGAAGAAACTCACCGCACTGTTTTGCCCGTTTCGTATACTGTTGACATGTCATCGTCTGTGGGGATGTATCACTGACTTGGCCAGCAGGCCCCTGGCTCCCGGAGGACTGCATCCCCGCTGCCGGCCGGACATGCAGGTCAACCCGCTGCCCCCGATGGCGGAAGACGACATGACGATGATCAAGGACCTCTTTACGTACCTGACCCAGCCGAACAGCGCCGCCTGCCAGAAGGTGGCCCGATTCGGTGGAAAGGCCGTAAGTGACGTCCACTGTACAGCGTCTCGGCCCTCGTAAATGACGTCCATTGTACAGCGTCTCGGCCCTCGTTCCTTCCGGTCCGAGCAGATCGTCTTCGTCCACTAATCTGACCGAACTCTCTGGCCCCCCTACCGCTGGTCCGCGTTCGCCTTCCGGTTTTTACGTCAATCGATCTTACATGCTTGATGTTAATGTATCGATTATGTTCATGAATTCGGCATAGGCTGTCATCAGGCAATCTGATCAGCGAAGAACAAGCGCTAACCCTTAAGGCTGTACGAATTGAGCGGACTGAAGTGTATATATGCGTTGCAGTACCAGACACACGAAGTGAGCGGAAGATCAGTGTAACAAGGGGCATGTGGATCATGCCGATGTCGGATGTTGGTACCATCACGCCGCAGCGGTATTTGTAACGTGTCTGTGTTTTTTTTTTCCGGAAGCATCCGCGACTTCTTCGCCCCCCTCCCTCGGCACACCGTCGTGACTCAGGTGTTCGCACTTTTCCCGTCAGATGCTGCGCATTGAGGACCACGTGCCGATTATGGACGGTCAGAAGTACATCTGCATGGATCCCGAGCTCAGCCTCCACACGACCGATGACTGCCTGGTCTACTCGTTCGGCATCAGCACCGACTGGTCCTTCGACTGGGAGATGGAGGGCTTCGGCTGCACCGTGTTCGCCTTCGACCCGTCCATCAACGCCAGCAGCACCGACTGGCAGCAGGGCGCCATCTCGTTCCTGCAGTACGGCGTCGGCGCCTGGGACCACGTTAGCGACGAGGGCTGGCAGATCCGCACGCTCGACACGATCGTCGAGTTCCTCCAGCACTCCGAGCGCAGCATCCACTACCTGAAGATGGACGTGGAGTTCACCGAGTTTGAGGTGCTGCGCCAGCAGGTCATTCGTGGCCAGCAGTCGCCGCTGTTCCGGAACGTGCAGCAGCTGGGCGTGGAGCTTCATATCACCTCCTTCCTGCCTGTGTGGGAGCATGTGACCTTCTACCGGGAGGCATACAAGACGTTTCTGGCGCTTCAGGACATGGGCTTTTACCCCTTCTCATACGAGGAGAACTTCTCGCTGGAGCCGGACGTGGACGTGCCGGGTTTGGATGACAAGCTTATGTCCGCTATGGAAGTGGTGTGGCTGAAAACACAGTGCATCGGTCCAGACGGCCGCGCCCTTACCGGAGCCGGTCAGTGAGAGCGTGGTTAGTCGGAGGGCCATGGCGTTTGGCCGCCACTTACGTCACGTGGTGCGGACACGGGCTACCTAGTCGCATAGTGTCACACGGGGGTTTTCATGCGCTTTTGGGTATGTGAATCGACCAGTTTGTTCGTACGCGTGGCTTCTGCACATCTTCAGGCTTCCCGGGCCGATCGAGGGCGTGGACGAGCATGATAAACCCATGCCTACCCGGCTTCGTCCCAGGACTGAACTGTACGGACTCGACCTACTCTGCATTCAAACCAGGGGGTCCGGTCCCAAGACTATGGCGATGCCCCAACCCCAGTTGTCTACGGAGTGACGCTCCTGGGATTCAGTCAACACGTTTTCTGCAGAAGTTGGGCGCTTTGCGCACGGTCACTACGCAAAGTAAGCGTGCTGAACGTACATTCCGCGTGCTTCCGCCGCTATCCGCACCATTCGTTCAGTTACCGCGCCTTGCGGGCATGTTTCCACAGAGAAAAACGACTGACGCCAAGGGCTCCGGCTGTCGTTCCGGAGCGGGGCCGACACTGTTCGAAATACACATAATGCTAGTCTCACGTACGAGTGACACACGTATTGGGCTCCGGCCAGGATCTCGGTCGCGGTCAGTTTGCACCAAAGACGCCGCACTCCTCCATACAAGGTGACATTTAAACTGCAGACGTCGGTGCCATGACCTCGTATGGCGTGTTAAACATGCATGGTGTCATTCGGCCAGCATACCATGGATCGGGTAAAGTTACTGGACAGTACGGATCAGTGCGATGGTGGTTCGTGGCCAGTTTGTCACTCAGCGTGGTCTGCGATTCTATCGCCACTCGAGAAAACAGTTCATCTGACTGAATGTAGATAACATATAACTTGCTTCATTCCTGTGCGGCAGAATCCATTGTGGAGTCACATGCGGCTGTGAAAGCTTTAGGAAGCAGTTTGTAGAAGATTTCAGGCTGACGCTATTTCGAACGACTGATCGTCACTCCAGCAAACGTGGTGCAAGCCTCGATTGGTTCATTCTATATCAAAACATAAAGATGCGCATGCATTGCGGATGTTTCTTGATGTACGTGAAGTTAGCGATTTATTCAGCGATTTATACAGCGACGAACGCTGATTTCTCTGTCAAAGTGTCTCAACGTCGATTGTGACATGAGAACACCAAAAGTGAACGTTATTTTGCAATAGCATGCGACCTTCAAGGTCAAAAGCCAGGTCAAAAGACGGGGAACTCGATATCACCCAAAAATTACCGGCTGACTTTCAGCTTGCAGATGTCAGAGTATTCACCACAGGAAGACCTAGCGTCCGTCAGAAAACATAACCTAACAAGGTCATGCTTCAAGGTTAAACACGGACTCAAAGGACGGGGAACTCAATATCACCAAAAAATTACGAGCCGATTTGAAAACTACAAGCATCAAAACATTCACAAGCGCAAAAGCTAGCGTCCCTCACAAAGCCCTGACATCTCAAGGTCACCTTTCAAGGTCAAACGCGGGCTCAAAGGATGGGGAACTCGATGTGACCAAAAAGTTACCGGCCGGATTTCAACCTGCAAACATCAGAATATTCACCAAAAAAACCTAGTGTCCCCCAAAAAGTCCGGGTATCTCAAAATAGCTCTTCAAGGTCAAACACGGGCTAAAGGCCGGGTAACTCGATATCACGCAAAAATTACTGGCAGATTTTCAACTTGCAAAGCTCAGAGCGTTCACTACAGATAGAACTAGCGTCCGTGACAAGCTCCTGGCCTCTCAAGGTTCTTCTTTAGGGTGGGACACGGCCTCAAAGAAGGCAGAGCCTTATATCACCCACAATATACTGGCTGATACTAAGCTCCTAACTGTCAAAATATTCACCACAAAAAACTAGCGTCCGTCAAAAAGTCCTGACCGCTCAAGGTCATCCTTCAAGGCCAAACGCAGACTCAGAGACCATGGAACTCAATATCATCCAATCATCAAAAAATTACCGTCCAATTTTAAACATGCGAATGCCAGAATATTCAGCACAAAACAAATAGCGTCCGTGAACAAGTCTTGACCTCTCATGGCCATTCTTCAAGGTCAAACGTGGTCTCAAAGCACAGAAAAGTCTGTATCACATAAAATTCCCGGCCGATTTTAAACTTTCAACTCTCAGAATACGCACCACGAGAAGAAATAGCGCCCGCGAAAAATTCCTGGCCTCTCCAAGTCATTCTTCAAGATGAAACGCGGACTCAAAAGACAGGAAAATGCATATCACCCAAAAATTACCGGCAGATTTTCAACCCGCAATTGCCAGAATACTCACCTCAGATAGAACCAGCGTCCGTCAAAAAGTTCTGATCTCTCAAGGCCATTCTTCGTATTCAGAAGCGAGCTCAAAGGACGAGGAATTCCATTTCACCCGAAATTACCAGCCGATTTTAAGCCAGCCGCTGTCAGAATCTTCACCACAGAAAGTATTAGCGTCCGTGAAAAAGTCCTGGCCTCTCAAAGTCACTTTCTGAAGGCCATTTTTCAAGTTGAAACGCAGGCTCAAATGACGGGTAAGCTCCACATCACCCAAAAATTACCGGCCGACTAAAGATTGCAAACACTAGAGTATCCACCTAAAAAATTGACCTTGAAAGACTACTAAAATATTAACGCTGAGGGGTGACCTTGAAAGGTCACCTCCCTCAAGAATGAGAGGTCACGCTCTTTCCGTGGTGAACATTCTGATGTTTGTAAGTTGAAAAACGGCCAGTAATTTTTGGGTGATAGCGACCTCCCCGTCTTTTCAGCCCATGTTCGGTCTTAAAGGGTGACCTGGAGAGGTCAGGTTTTTTTTCTGATGGACGCTAGTTCTTTCTGTGGTGAATGTTCTGACTTCTGTAAGTTGAAAATCGGCCGGTACCTTTTGAGTGATAATGAGTTTCCCGTCTTTTGAGTCAGCGTTTTACCTTGAAGAGTGACCTTAAGATGTCAGGACTTTTTGACGGCCGCTAGCTCCTGCACTTGTGAATATTTTGATGCTTGTAGTTTTCCAACCGGCCGGTGATTTTTGGATGATTTGCAGCTAACCATCTTTGAATCGGTGTTTGACCTTGAATAATGACCTTGAGAGGTTGGGGCTTTTTTGAAGGACGCTGGTTTTTTCTGTGGTTGATATTCTGATGCTTGTAAGTTGAAAACCGACCAATACTTTTCGGTGATGTCAAGTTCCCCATCCTTTGACCTTGTGTTTGACCTTAAAGGGTGGCCTTGAGAGGTCAGGACTTTCTAGCGGACGTTGCCTTTTCTGTGGTAAATATTCTGATGTTGATAAGTTGAAAATCAGCAGGTAATTTCTGTGTGATATCGAGTTTCCCGTCCTTAAAGCCGGCGTTTGACCTTGAAAGATGATTTTAAGAGGTCTGGACTTTCTACGGGACGTTAGCTCTTGCGCTTGTAAATATTTTTTATGCGTGTAGTTTTCAAATCGGCCGGTAATTTTTGGTTGATTTCGAGTTCCCCGTCCTTTGTGTCTGCGTTTGACCTTGAAGGATGCCCATGAGAGGTCAAGACTTTTTCACGGACGCTAGTTATCTCTGCGGTGAATATTTTGACGCTTATAAGTTAAAAATCGGCCGTAATTTTTAAGCGATATCAAATTCCCTGTCTTTTAAGCTCGTGCTTGACCTGAAAGGGGTGATCTTGAGACATCAGGTTTTTCTGACGGACCCTAGTTCTTTCTGTGCTAAATATTCAGACATTTGCAAGTTGAAAATCGGACGGTAATTTTTGGGTGATATCGAGTTCCCCGCCGTTTGAGCCTGCGTTTGACCTTGAAGAATGGCCTTGAGAGGTCAGGACTTTTTGACGTACGCTAGCTTTTGCGCGTGCCAATATTTTGATGCTTATAGTTTTCAAATCAGCCGGTAGTTTTTGGATGATATCGAGCTCCCCGTCCTTCGAGTCCGCGTTTGACATTGAAGGATGACCTTGAGAGATCAGGACTTGTTGACGAACGCTAGTTTTGTATGCGGTTTATAGTCTAATGTTTGTAACTTGAAAATCAGCCGGATATTTTTGGTGATTTCGAGTTCCCCGTCCTTTGAGCCCGTGTTTGACCTTGAAAAGTGTCGTTGAGAGGTTATGACTCCCTGACGGACGCTAGTTTTTTGTTGTTGGTATTCTGACAGTTACAAGCTGAAAATCGGCCGGTAAATTTTAAGTGATATCGAGTTCTCCGTCCTTTAAGCCCTTGGTTGTCTTTGAAGGGTAATCTTCAAATATCATGAATTTTTGACGGACGCGGACGGACTCTTGCGCTTGTGAATTTCTTTATGCATATAGTTTTCAAATCGGCCGTTAATTTTTGGTAGATATCAAGTTCTTTTTCCTTTGAGCCCGCGTTTGACCTCGAAGGGTGACCTTGAGAGGTTAGGACTTCCTGACGAAGACTAGTTCTTTCTGTGTTTCTGTGGTGAATATTCTGACACATGCAAGCTAAAAATCTGGCGGTAATTTTTGGGTGATATCGAGCTCCCCGTCCTTTGACTCAGCTTTTGGCCTCAAGGGTCACATGCTGTTTCAAAAAAGGGTAATTTTTCGTGTTCTCATGCCAGAATTGACCCTGCAACATTTTTCAGAGAAATCGAACTCGTCGCTGAATAAATTGCTGAATAAATCGCTAACTTCACGGACATTTAAACTGGTGGAGTGGACGAGTCTCATGCAGCAGGCAAGCAACATTTGGAACCTAAATTATGTTTTTCATCGTTAATGCAGATAACAAATTAATGCGGTCATCACCAGCTTTTAAAGGAAGTTCAGAAACCAAACAAGCTTATGCACACCAGTCAAAATTTAAAAACGCAATTCAGCGCTGTTTCCTATGGTAGCAACCGTGCGATGACTCCCTCATAAACTCACTTCCAGCGACATGGATCCGGCACCACTACAGCGTCACAGCCGTCGACCTTAGGACCACAGGTCGTAGAGACCACCGACTGGCTAGGTTTATTCTGCTGGTAATCAGTTAAA